AGGACAAAAAATGTCATCTGAGTCATAGGACATTACAGACTGAAGTGAAATTTTTCTGTGGATTTGTCACAAGTGACGCCTTTAACATTATTTGATCAATTGTTAATATAAAAATGTTTATTGGTGCAGCTCAAACTGTGAACACTGCACTGCACTACTCTGAGGCCTAAAATGCATGTTGAACTTTGATATTAGTTAAACTCTCACACACTCCTGAGAGTCCACACTGACTGTGGAAAGGAAAGGATCACTTCCAGTCAGTTTTAGAAATATAAATAAAATCGGAAAGGTCAGCTCCCCTGTTTATGCTCTCCGCTGGCCGACAACATCCCACCTATCATCCTCTCAGGTCACAGCGTGGAAAATTACATGAACTTGACATGATCTTCCGACAAACGCTCAATCAACTGTACAGCGTCTCTGAGGGGGAAGAGGGGCCATCAATCATAAATATATCTCACATAACAACACTGTCACAGTTTATGGTGTGTAGCCCTCCATTAAAAACGTCCTTATAACCTTCCACATGCAAGCATCTCTTCCTTTTCTCCCTATCTCCAGATTTTAACCCCTCCACTACTGCCTGTGTGAGCGAGCTGGTGTACAGTGATAGTGAAGTATTGGCAAATTGCTGGTTTAAGTGCTGAGGGAGGAGAAAGAGGAGATTTGCATGTCACGTTCTGAAGAGAAAAGTGGAGCCGGAGCTGAAAAACGAGCATCTTTATAGCGTTACGTCTCAAAAACTTGAACATAAATGTTCAAAAGAGTTGTTGTCAATGCAAATATCACAGTAATCTTTCAGTGGGTAGTTTCTTCTTTTAACAAATGATGTTAAACGTGTGTATTGCTGCACCTTTCCCTCTGAGATCTGCTCTGTGTGTCTGATTTGTTTGAACTGATTGCACCTGATCCTACACACCTGTTGTAAATATGCTGCACTGTGGCAATTAATGAGCCTGCACACTGAGGAAGGCACTAACTGGAACATTAGTGGTTATTCCGCATGGTAAATGAATAAATATACAACTAATCAGAGCTCTGACATATTTTAAAATGTACCTACAGGTGTGACACATCATTAACAACATGTAAGATCTTGTTTTGGAGAATGAACACTGAGAGTATAAGATATTGTCCTCTCAGTGGTATTGATCATCAGGAGAGCTGGACACAGGTTGCAGATTGCAGGTTGACTTTCCATGTGTGTCTCTCTCTAAGGTTGATATTGCTTATGTAACTTAGTTGATACCAGTGCAGTTTGTAGTTTATGGACACCAGTGAGATGTTATATCATTTGTCATATAATATTTTTAATTCTTCAATTTTATAAATTAATATGTTGTATTTGTTTCAGGTAAACAGTTTCAATGAGGGGAATTCTGATGATACAACCACCGCTCCACCCGGCTTGGTGTTAGCAAGATGCTGGAAACATTTTTCTACCAATGAGGGAAATTCTGAAAGGCTGGTAACATTAAATCTAGTGTTCTGCTGGTGTCTGGCTTTTTTAAAGTAAATCAAAACATTTTCTGTCAAAACCATAATACTGCAACAACTTTAACCACCAGCAGCAAAATCTCAGACCTTGTTTACACGGATACCGATACAAATAAAAACAGAGTTTTATTTATCCCGTATAAAAAAAATCGGGTTTACACGATCAGTTGTGAAAACGATATCCCTGTTTACAGGAAAACGCAAAGATGGCAGCTTTTTGCTGCAATTAGCATGCCAGGCCAGTAGGTGGGGATACACCATATGTCAAACACCATGGAAGAACGTTCTGCGCATGCACAGTGATTTGTTTTCCTCTTGGCTCTAGTGTAGAGCCCTGCACGGGACTGTTTTCTTCATCCCGCTCCTGCCCGCTGAATTTCTGACCATTACCGCCCGCAACCGCAACGTGTGTGTTACACTCCCGCCTGCTCCCACGAAACTCTGAGAATTTATGCCTGCACAATAATAGAGATGCATTGATTTTGTGTCTTCTCCTGTCCCACAGGAGAAAACACGTCATTTTATAGGCTATTAATAAAGAGCTTCATGGGGTTGTTTGTTTCATTTCCTTGGCCTGCATGTCTTTTGACGCACTGGTCAGGAATAGCGCTCCTATTTTGTTGTTTTCATTTAGTTTTTAATGAAATAAAGGCTGTTTCATATTCTATTCTCCTCCTCTGTATTTTATTTATTTTTCTACCTTTAGATAATCACGCAGTGATTGAGGTTAAGGTCTCTTTTCTAAGAGAGACCTGAATAAGAAACATTAATGAGATAAAGATAAAGCCTATGCTCAATAACACCGGCATCATCACGCCTCTTTATGTAATTAACAAATAGCAACGAGAGTAGGCTGTGAGTGGCTCAAATAACACTAATAAATAACATAAAATAAACAAAGTTAACGAATGAAACGAATGAATTTAACAAATGAATCACTTGGCCATAATATTGCTGTGGAGAAAGAGAATGTTGCTGACCGACTGCAGTCCCAATCCTGTGCGTCTCTTTTCCAAGATGCGCCCACAGACGCTAAAGGCCCGCTCTGAAGGCGCACTGGATGCGGGGATACTGAAGATGAAACGCGCCAGCTTTGAGAGCGCTGGGAAGTAGAGGGCTCAGTGCACCTTCAGACCTTGTTTGAGCTTCTTTTCCACATCATTTGTTAATTCCATCCTGTCGGGGCGCTGGTGGCTTAAGGCCCGAACATACTCGGGAGTACTATAAGCGGAGCGGACTCCGCGAGGAATGTCCGCAGTCATTCGGGCTTTCATTGTCGAGCGCACTTCCTAGTTGTAGTTTCCTGACAAAATGTCCGTGAAAAATCCCTGCGATGTGAAAAATACATGCCAAGCAGTCACTGGTGCGCGGAGCGGAGTCCGCGCGGCCGTAAAATCTGAGCTTCGCGCGCACAGGGCTTGCAGACGTCCGCTTTGAGTCCGTGCGGACCTCCGTGGAGTCCGTTTCGCGTACGTTCCGCCTGAGTATGTTCGGGCCTTAAGTGGTAGAGCAGGCGCCCCATGGACAAGGCTGTTGCCACAGCGGCCGGGTTCGACTCCAGCCTGTGGCCCTTTGCTGCATGTCTCTTCCTCTCTCTCTCTCCCCCTTCACGCTTGTCTGTCCTATCCATTAAAGGCTAAAAAGCCCCAAAAAATATCTTAAAAAAGAAAAAAACAAAAGAAACTCCATCCTGTCGCTATAGGCTACATCCCGATCCCGCAGTGTTTTTTTTTTAGCCGCCCGTTCCCGCCTGCAGCAAAGTTCAAACCGCCCGCTCCTGCAAGATTTGGATTGGGTCCCGCGGGACCTGGCGGGACCCAATCCCAATGCAGCCCTCTACTCTAGTGATAAAAACAATGATAATCTACATTTTAACCTTTTGTAGCATAGTTAGCTACTATGCACTTACTAATATTGGGCACAGCAGACGTCTTTGTGCACCGATGTAGTGGTGATGTTGATGCAGCAGTGCTGAGTTCATTTGTAAGCTCGTAAGTAGTCCCAAAAGTGCTAACAAAACGTAAACAATCTGGCATATATCCGCCATTGTTGTTGTGGTTCCCGGGCTCCTAATGGGCATGTGCAAACTGGGTTGCAACATCATCGTTTTCCAAAATCTCCGTCTATCCTGTTTACACATCTCCATAGACGTTTTTGAAAATCTCTGTTTTCGTTAAGAAAAATGCCGGTTATGTGTAAATGATAGGTGCAAACACAAAGAAAAATACCCGTTTTCAGAAATATACAGAACCGTATAAACAGGCCCTAAAACTAGAAGCATCTCAGCTTAGCAGAGTTATATCATGTTTGGACTTTCAGCCGGCAGCTGACTGTTTGCTTCCTGTGTGAATGTAGAGCTAAACCATGATGTTGTTTTCTGAACCTAACCACATGCTTTTGTTGCACGCAGAAATAAATATGAGGTGTTTTACCGAAGTTTATTTTGCAAAAACCTAAATGGCAGCGCGGTGTGTTTTTGTCTGCATATTCAGATCTGTGTCAAGCAGAATACGTGTACAGTTGACAAGAGTGAATCAACATTGGATCACATTATATGTGCATTTCAATAATGTTTACTGCTGCCATTCTGCCATTCACTAAGCACTTTGCTGCACTTAAAATACTTTAATATTTTTTTATCTATTGAGTTTTTATCCTCACTGAATGTCCTGTGTCTTGTGTTTTCATGTTCTTTGTTGGAATGCATCACTTGAGTGTCAAAACTAATTTCGTTGTATTTCTGTGCGATGACAATAAAGGCTTTCTAGTTCTAGCTCTACATGTCCTGTGAAAATGTAAGCGTACTGTGAAAATACACAGTGCATGTAACAAGCGTGAATTGACACAGCGTCCTAGAATGTCAACAACAGATGTGGGAGAATACCTAGCATGTTATATATTGATGTCAATGTCCACTGACAAAATGACGATATTTGACAAGTTGGGATGAAAATGTGTTGGAAATACACACAGATAAACAGTTGACTCAAACTAATCTAATCAAAAGATTCAGGTCTCTCTGTGTTGATGAATAAGAGCTAAAAAGCTTTTTAATTGTTGCTCCTTTCAGCAGAATATGTCAGATTCTCTTTGTTTTTTCAAACAATATTGCCCAACCCTCCCCAAAAATCACCCACACAGTGCTCTGTGTCTCAGAACTTTTGTGCAATTGTGGTGCAAACATACTCTGTTGTATAACACTGAACCTAACAATGAGTCTGTAGCATCACATCATATGTGTCTGGTTTTCCACAGTTCCTTTTTTTCTTTATTTCTACACCCTAGTGTTTCTTGATTCCCTGGAAATCCACCTACAGCCACATTTACCATCAGCTCCACATTCAGTCTCTGTGGAGCTGCAGAGTCTCCACTTTGATATCAGAGCTTTAAAGTCTTGTGTCTGTTCGCAGGCCTGCGGGCCCATACTATCAAACACAAAAGACATCTGACTGAAGGTGAAACTACAGAGCTGAGGTCAATCTGCTGCACGGGACACATCATACCTAATGCAACTCTGGCAGCCGAGGCATCGTAATTTATCCAGAATGACACCCAGGATAGGATGGTGATGAGGATGGAGGGCATGTACGTCTGCAGGATGAAGTATCCGATGTTTCGCTTTAGCTTGAAGCTCAGAGACAGTCGAGGGTAGGCACCTGCAGGGGAGGACAGTGCAGAAGAAAAAGCCCTCTTTAATTCAAGAGGAACAAGGGGATGTCTAGCACTTTGTTTTGGTTCCTATGGCGATGGCCTCATGAACTGGTTTCATCACCATGGAAACAAGCGAGCGCGGTTCAAATTGCAAATCATCTTATGAAACTTAGCCTTGAGATTTTTTTGCATGCACACACCACAGAGCAGAGCAAAATATAAAACTTCTGTTAGCACACTCACATATACAGTGTTAAAGGGGACATAGTGTATGCTCCTCCGTTTTCTGTCATATATATAATGTCGGATGTTCATATTAAACATGACCAAAGTTTCAGATAAGGAGGTAAACATGTAAACGTAAACCTGTGAGCAAAAATGTCAGGCTTCAAACTGCTCTGAATACTCTGTTGTGTTTACATTAAGCCCAGTTCAGACAAAGATTTATGACGAGACAAGTTAAAACAGGCAACTACTTGCACTGCGCCGTTCTGTAACGTTCTGAAAACCTGCTGGTTCACACCAGTGCAACTAAATGAGATGGTGTATCATCTCTATGCAACAACTCTCTGTACTTCTGTTCTGATTTGCAGCTTTTCAGACTTATTTTGTGGCTGAATATAATTTGTAGCTCCTTAAAATATGAATGGAGATAGTGATAGTGAGATACTGGCTACAGCTGCATTTGTTGTAGCTGACCACTTTACAATGCTGCAACTTTTCTCTGCAACATCCTAAAACAGTTTCATCTAGTCGCGAATCATTGGTCTGAACTGGGTTTTACACAAACTGTTACACGTAGCTACATGCTAACGTCAGGGAAACAATCTTCTCTATGTAATCTTGGTTACTGACATCATTAATTTCTCCCTGACTTCGAATCATATTCCTGCTGGAACATTTCCAGTTGTGAAGATTTTGGTTTAGAAGCGTTTATTGGTGATCTTTCACACTCGAAGGTGCTATACTGTCACAGTTATTCCCTGGCTGCCATGATGGTGCAGAGATGTGGTCCCCACCTTTTCTGGGAGGGGGACATAAAAAGGCAGGTGCTAAAATGGAGCGTCTTAGACAGAGTATGAACACAGTTTTTTTCTCAAAGACAGTGTGAGGAACATTAAGCTAATAAAATTAAGCTAATCAGATGCTAGCTGCAGCTTTACACTCTTTGCTCTGGTAAGACAGAGGGCGCATCGCTTGTTGCAAACTGCAAAAAATGCAAGCCGCACTGTACTGCTTTTTTTGGTTGAGAGTGCTTTTTGCAGCTTGCTGCGCCTTTTTTAAATTGTTGTTCAGCAACTACCAAATCATCTGTCCTAGCGTAACCGCTAGTTTGCTGTGAAGTCAACTCCGAAATCGGCACCTTAAAATGGACAGGCGTAGGACACTTGGGCTGTTCTCAAATAGTACATTGGACACAGGAAAGCAAACATTTGTGTGGGTACATCTGTGAGGGAATTTTGTTGTGTTACAGCCTTCAACTTTGATCAGTAAAGAAAATGGGTGACAGTTCCTTCTGAGGTTTCTACCATTTTTTTTCCCCTGTTAAAGGGTTTTTTTGGGGAGTTTTTCATTATCCCCTTTGAGGGTCCAAGGACAGAGGGATGTCATATGTTGTAAAGCCCCCTGAGGCAAATTGTGATTTGTGATATCGGCTTTATAAATAAAAATTAACTGAATTGAATTACGCTTAAAATGATAGTTCAGGTTTTTGGACATGACGTTGTGTGAAACGCTGACCATCTGTAGCTCTGATGTGACGGTGTCACTACTGTCAACGAGCCTCCTGCTCTGAGAAATGGCCCGTAGCTTACTGGAGAAAAAGTAGTTCTGAAGATGTACGGGGGACACGTAACCAAAAGGTTTTAAGCTACAAAAAAAGTATGCATGTGTTTTGTTAGACTATTTCAATAATTTTAAAACATCCCTGCATTACGTCAGACCTTGATATCAATTGGGGCTATTTTCTGGCCAGTATCACTCCGCCGTGCAGGCCCGCAAGACAGCACGCCAACAGAAATCAATCAGACAGTTCATCACCACGCCGTGCAGGTGCGCAGGATAGCAACGGCTAACGAAAACTTCATCGGCTGTTTCCAACAGAGAACCAGTAGGCTATTATTAGTGAGGAAAAGATGTACTAGCCCTATATATACCTACTACTACAGCGCAAACACCGGCTCACGACACACCCTCGTCAGCTGCTGTAGGTAAACAGAGGAATACCAAAATGGTGCGAACTTGTGATTTCCCCAGCTGTGGGAATAAAAACATCGCCGGCTCCCAATTCCATCGGTTTCCTGTTACAGATGTAACCCGTAGTTAGTGTGAGTGTGATTGCTGTGCTCACACCTGCTCAAACGAACTGCACTTAGGGGGAAAATGAACTTGAGTTCAATTGAACAGAACCAAACAGGGCAGGTGTGAAAGCATCCTCAGATCAACCTGACAGGTATGACTTTAACTGTTCCTAACAAGGCACTAGACTGTGTATGAGACAACACTCTGTAGTCACAAAGCAGTCTCTGTGAACACTCAGTGACCTTGCTGCCCTACAATAGTTCTGTAAGCTGACTGAGTGACTAAACACACACCTGTGTTGCTCCTGGTGCGCTGGACTAACCCTGCTGAGATGTTAAAAGCATCTGCAGACTCCCCTCAGAGTTTATCTGCATCAAGATCTGAGCCTGATTGTAATGAGCTCTAATAGCCCTGATCGGACAATATCCATCCTACATTAAATCAGCTGCGGGAATAATCACTGTTCTGGTGCCTTTGAGTTTTTGTATTATAAGAGAATAATTCATGCTGTCGGCACTCTGCCTCATGAATACATTATATTCCTGTAAGTACAGCCCCCGTTCTTTTATCAAGAGCCTGAATCATTATTCCCAGTTCTGGTGTTACAGTGAGAGGGGTCATGGTATGATGCAAATCCCAATGCAAATTAGAAAAGCCTAATGTGTCGCAGGGAAACAAAACACAGGAGATCCGCTGATATTTGGGTGCTTTATGTGAAACTTTAAAGGCCCTGAAAAAATGTTTCTCAATCAGCATCTCACTGTGAGTGATGGGAGTCACGTGAAGACACATCTGTCTGCCAAAGTTAGAAAAGTTTTGGTTATTTGCTGTGAGCTATTTCTATATTTCTCTATATTGAAGTGGGCGGGGCTTTGTTGGATACAGGTGATGTGACATACTTCTGTGCACCAATCAGGATTCAGACTTAAAATCTTTTGTTTTGTTTTGTTTGGTTGTTCGGCTACATCCAATCAAACCTGATAAAAACACACCCCCATAGTCCTGATGAAGCACATTAGCTGAGCATTAAACTCTTCATAAATAATACCCATGGTTTTAACTTTGATGTTTCTTATTTAGTCATGAATATTTAATGTTATGGAGAAATACTTTGGAGCTGCTTTAAGGGCATGAAAATGAACATAAACTCCGGTGAAAGGGGAATTAGAAGTTTTAGCAAAAGTGAGCAAAGTGTCTGAAACAGTTATACAGCACTCAAATGGCATGACTGTGAACTCACCTGTGGAAAAGACCACGTTCCTGGAAACCAGTTTGTAGTCGACTATGGAGAACTGAGGGAGCTCGATGCGTGTCACCCCAGTCACAGCAGTGTCTCCTCCTTTCCAGTAGAACTCGATATCATCTGTTGTGTAACCATCTGCAAACAGGGACAAGGTGTGGTTACCGTGGCTGAATTCAAATGTCTGGAATATTCAACCACATCATGATACAGAATTAGGGTCTAGAGGTAGCCTAGAAAAACTGGCCAGAAAACAACAAGAGAAGGTCTTCCAATGCAAGAAATACCCAATTTATTTAGTCATTGTCATGTTCTTATTTACAAACATGTCTGTATTTCTGTGTTTGTAGCCTATATCCATCCATCATCCATCCATCATCCATTCATCCATCCATCCAGCCATCATCCATCCATCCATCCATCCATCCATCCATCCATCATCCATCTGTCCATCCATCCATCATCCATCCACCCATCCATCCATCCATTATCCATCCATCATCCATCCATCCATCCATCCATCCATTCACTCATCCATCCATCCATCCATCCATTCACTCATCCATCCATCACCAATCCATCCATCCATCCATCCATCCATCCATTCACTCATCCATCCATCCATCCATCCATCCATCCATCCAATGTCAACCGCTTATCCGAAGCCAGGTTGCAGGGTCAGCAGGCTGAGCAAAGTATTCCAGACGTTCCTCTTCCCAGGCCAGCAACACTTTCCAGGTCCTCGTGGGGGACTCCGAGGTGTTCCCAGGCCAGATGAGATATATAAACACTCCAGTATGTTCTGGGTCTGCCCCAGGGCCTCCTACCAGTTGGATGTGCTAAGAGGTACCCAAGAAAATCCTGATCAGATGCCCAAACCACCTTAACTGGCCCCTTTGACGTGAAGGAGCAGCAGCTCTACTCCGAGCTCTCTCCCCAGATGTCCAAGCTCCTTACCCTGTCTCTAAGGCTGAGCCCAGTCACCTGAGGACACTAATTTCGGCCGCTTGTATGTCCGATTTCATTCCTTTGGTTATTACCCATAGCTTATGAGGGTTGGGACGTAGATGAACCAGTAAAACGAAAGCTTCGCCCTCCTGCTCAGCTCCCTCTTCACCACGACGGTCCTCACGCTCTATTCACCTTCCATTCCCTCACTCGTGAACAAGAGCCCGAGATGCTTGAACTCCCTCTCTTGGGGCAGTAACTTACTTCCAACCTGGACGGGGCAGTCCACTGTAGTCTATACCTTATATTGAAATCTGTTCAGTCACAAAAAACTCTACAAATGGGATTTATATCTTCTTATCTGATGGGACAAATGAGCAGACATTATTCATCAGCTTCTGTGAGGAAGATGACAGCACTGTGTACATGATAGAATGTTTCCATGGCAATGGACTTGAGGCCTGTCTATCTGCGGCTTGTAGTCTCTACCCTCACAGACTTCACATTCATTCATTCATTAAAATCCTGCTTATCCTGTAAGGGGTCGCGGGGGACTGGAGCCTTTCATTATACTCAAGGAACTATCTCAGTTTTTTGATTTTTCGTTCACCATGGAGGTATGCGAGAAAAATAAAGTTTTCCTCATGAATTCAAAGTAACACGGGGTGAGTAACTGATATATAAACAGTCGTTTTGTGGGTGAAGTATTCCTTGAAAAGTGCAGTCGTCTCATTTTGTTGGAGAGCTAAAATTAATAATGTATTTTTATTTGCTTAAGTGAAGTCTGGGGGCCTCGTAGCTACTGCTGATTTACAGTAAGTCGTATGAATCACACAGACTCGGCTGACTGTAAGTGCTGATTGCATGAGATGTAAATCTCTACGGGGATGTGTGTCACTGCAGGAAGACAGACTGACATGCATGCATGGGATCTATAACTGTAAATAGTTTGACGGCAGCCAGACACGTCATCCTGACTGATGAAGCTGGACTAATCATCCCTGTGCCCTACTATGGAAATCACCATCTGCTTAGAAACTTTCAGGATAGACACAGGAGCGCTCACTGAAGAGGGTGAAGCAAGCAATCTCATCGAGATGTGACAGCTTAATAAATCGAAAGCAATTCAGCAGGCGGTGCAGTTTCTGTCTGCACGAGATGAGGAGCGTGAGAACTTTTTTATGAGAATCACGGCGCTGTTCATATTTTTTAAAGGGTGAAAAAGTGGAGCTGTCTGCTGTATTTCTTTACTAAGCACAAGATGTGAGGCTTTAAACTTACAACTCTCAATTTCCAGAGTGCAGTTCTGTTCGTCCAGCGGGTACCTCCTCAGATCCATCATGCAAGCTGCTGTCGTCGTGATTCTGGATCGAAACAAAACCATGAGAGAGGGATACATTACTTGGGTGACCTTGTTTTAAATGGTGTGTCGCACATTATCAAAGCACACTGTCAAACAGAGGAAGATACAGGAGTAAATTCAAAGAGATGTGCTCCCTTACAGTTTAGAGACGAGATAAAACTCATTTTAAATAGAACGAATCATTACAGCGCGGCACAAACATCCTGGAAATGCAACGACATTCATTATTATCTGTTTGAAAGTAAGACGCTCCGTCAATTACTGCTAATGGCACTTCGAGGCTTTTCAGAACTGCAGCCAATAAACATATGAGCGAATTATGCGATATGAGCTGATGTGAGACCCGCTGTAAGTTCTGAGAATTGCAGCTTAAATGGCTTCAACAGAACAAATAAAACATTTAGCCACTTTATGTGTCTTTGGCAGATTGGGTAGCCGTGATAGCCTAAAAGCTGAGAGTAAATGAAATACATCCATTTCTCCATGATGCATATGTAATCTGTGTTAGTCCCATTTAGATCAGACTGGAGAGTGTGAAGGGAGGGAAGTGATCCCATCACATTTACTATCTGTCTAATGGAGATGCATATGCAGTTTGTGTTAGTTTTAATAAAAGTGTATCAGATATGGACTTAATCAGGATATGAGGCACATAATGGAAAGTGTAGATAGGCCTTTAGCTGCAGTGCTTAAATCTGTCTTCAAGTAGTTGCTCCATATTTTATTATGTAATTACCTCGGCTTGTTTAGGATTATAGATAAACTACTGGCCTGATTGTCATGAAACTTGGTGGAAGGTTGTAGAATGGGCCAGTGAGGATCACATTTAATTTTGGAGCAGATCTGAATCACAGGTCAGATACACCAATAATTTTTTTTCACCTTTGTTAACATTGCGAGATAGGGCATTTGGCCTCTCAAAGGGCCCTTCTAGATGACCACTAGACTGGAAATTAATGGAGATCATGTCAGAATTATACCGTAAAGTCTCATACAGGAGCTGGTTTTTCAGTTTACTGCTGGGGCATAGGCTACATTAACAGATGCAGTTAAAAAATCAACAACAAATAAACGGCTGGGTAAAACTAGAGCTACCACCTTGCTGTTGTGTGCCCTCGCAAATCCGTCAAATTGTCAAGTAGCAGTTACAGTTTACGTCCATGTCTGTAAAAACATTGATGCTTCACACACATCTTCCCCCTGCAGCACAGAAGATCTATACAATCAGCACAGTTTCAAGGTGGACACCCAAGATTTGTGTCGCCAATTCAGTATCTAACCAAATGTTTCCCTTCTGTTCCTGAGATATGACGTTGAATAATGGTCAGATAAGTGTTTTTGCAGAACATTATGATGTCACAGTGAAGCTGACCTTTGACCTTTTGGATATAAAATGTCACCACTTCTCATTTTATCCTATTAGACACTTGTGTGAAATTTTGTCATAATTAGCGTATGATTTCCTGAATTATGGCCATAAACATGTTTTTGAGACCCTCACCTTTCACCACCAAAATCTAATCTTTAGTCAAAGAAGATGTTTGTGGGGTGTCGGTGGCTTAGTGGTAGAGCAGGAGCCCCATGTACAAAGCTGTTGCCGCAGTGGCCCAGGTTCGACTCCAGCCTGTGGCCCTTTGTCGCATGTCATTCCCCCCCTCTCTCCCCCCTTTCACACTCAGCTTTCCTATCTATTAAAGGCAAAAATGCCCAAAAAATATCTTAAAAAAGAAGAAGAAGAAGAAGAAGAAGATGTTTGTGCCAAATTTTGAGAAATTCCTCAAGGTGTTCTTGAAAAATACATCAGGCAACGTTAAAGTGAACTTGACCTTTGACCACCAAAATTTAATCAGTTCATTGTTGAACCCAAATGGACGTTCATTTCAAATTCTAAGAAATACTACTGACTCCGGAGTCACTCTGATGATGTCTTTGACCTTTCATCTATGATCACTAAATTCTAATCAGTTGATCATGAACTTAAAGTGGATGTTTGTGCCAAATTAAAAAAAAAATTCCTTGAGGTATTCTTCAGATATCGCATTCATGAAAATGAGACGGATGCAAGGTCATGATGACCTTGACCTTTGAACTATGAGCACCAAAAAGATGTGACAGACAGACGGACGACCCAAAAACGTAATGCCTCGGGCCACAGATAAAGCCGACGCAGAGGCATAAAAACCACAGAGAAGGGGATAAAATTATTTGTAGACAGTAACAACCGCTAACATGGTAAAGTCAGTATAATAACTAATTCCATCAGTACAGCAACAGAGTCATGTTATACTCACTCCTCTGTTACTCTCTCGTTCTCTTTATAACAGAAATAAAGTCATACTCTGATTAATTCCAGTTGTCTGTCTCTGCTGTACTCCTGATCCATGTTAAACTACCCTCAACAAAATTTTTCACATTAAAAGCCTACCTTTAAAGAGAAAAGCAAGAATTGTATTGTGGAATTTTGAAAAAATTGTTAACTTTCAGTCATGGTTCAATTATGGTGCTCTTTATTTAGAAGACCTCTGTTTTTAATCTGCTCTTAAATTTGGCTTAACATCGTTTTTATTCCTGTTTTGTAAAGCCTTTTGCATTAAAAGTGCTAGTTATTATTATCATTATCATGACAATTTGTATTATTCTTATTGCGTAAATTAACATTGTTTTAGGAAACAACAATCCTGGAACCTAACAGCTATTGGTCTGATAACAATTTAGCCTCTGGGGGCAACGGGCAGTATTATGGGGGTTTCTGGTGTAGCCAACAGATATTCAGATAACGAATACTTGGGCCAAGACTTCCTCTTCCATGTTCCCATCATTGCTAACAATCTGAGCATCCAGAGATGGGAGCACGACGTTGGATTAGAGAGACGACTAAGATCTATAATCTGATATCTGCCTTAAAAAGGGCTAATAAAAAGCTAAATCATAGCAGTACAACAGACGATGGGTACCGAGATGCATTCGGCTCTTTTGCTCTCTATACTGACTGTTTATCTGCATGCAACCAAAGCCCGCTCAAACATGATGGGTCAATACTACTTGAACTACAAACAGAAACCAGAAGGCTTCCTATACCAAAATCTCATCTCGTTGCCTACAGATTCTGCATTCATATGCAGATATCTGTTTACAGAGATTAGAGAAGGAGGGAATGGACAGTACACTGGATTTATAAAGACAGCAGATAAACATGGAGATCTTAAGTGCTTTATTGTAGTTCAGAACTAAAGAAGCCTCTTGGATGAGAGGTGAAATGTCTTCAAGAAACTTGGGCCAGTCCAGTTGCCTACGATATAGCACTTAAGACTACCATGAGCTGGATGACTGAGAATCTTCATTAACATGACCAGGAAAAAGATTTTGATCTTGCATTACCTGGGAACAGTTAAGTCTAATATTGAGAATTTGTTTTAACGACAGTGCTCACCTGAGGCCGTAGAGAACGGTGCCATCCGGGTGTAGTCGAATCATTCGGTTCTTAACCGTGACACCGTGAACAAAGGACTTCTTGTCATTGAGGAAGTAGGTGTCTGGGACCCAGAGCTGGTCTGCTACTCTGTTGTCCAGTGTCAGGTTGAGAGGGATCCCTGCATAGGCCAGTCTCTTATCTCTCCAATACTGCTGGAAGTACATCGTCAACGTGTAGTCCTGCAGAGAGTAAAACAGCATAATGCAGCTACACTCAACAATAAAAATCAGTCAGAGAAATGCAATTATACTACACGGCAGATGCAGTGTAAATAAAGTCATTTTGTTCCAGACGTTTGCAATTTCCTCAGGCCAGATTTGCCGACATTATCCAAACTGAAGCCCGACTTTCTTACAACGTTATCACATTCAGCGCTTAATGTCTGCAGCCCAGAGCTCGGGATGGATTTTGTGTAACAAAGGTGATATTTATAGAATCATCCAGCAACTCTGATTCTCATCAGTTTGCCCAGGGTGACCATATTTCAAGGCCTGACTCAACGAGAAACTTCTCTCAGCTGGTCTGTGGACGAGACTGGCACTGGCCCTCAGACTATAGATTTCCATTACTGCAGGCACAGCATCAGCGCTACTGTAGGTTTCAGCTGAGTGACTAACCACTGCAACCAGCATGCCAAACCCACACTGCATATCTCAAGGATAGATAGATAGATAGATAGATAGATAGATAGATAGATTTCATTACATATTACCAGCCATACATGCAATGACATGAGGCCATTTCAATAATTTATTGGACATTCATTCGCAGCTCGCTCCACAAGTGGATCCATCAAACACAAAAGCTTTTCAAGGCCTTTAATGGAGCTCTTTACTAGCTCGCTTGGCTTTGTTCTGCTGACTAATGTTCTCTTAAATAAATAAGCAGGTCTCAGGAAATAAACAAAAAACTTGGCGGTGCAGAAAATGCCTACATCTCAATCCTTGGGTGCAATCGCATATGCACAATAAAGTGTTAGAAAACACCCTGATTTCCTTTGGATGTAAAAATCAAAACCAGTATTTCTCTTTTTCACAAATAACTAATTATAAACACAAGGTAAGTCTGTGTGGTTCCTCACTTTGGGAACTGCTGACATCATTTGGAAAATAAAGAGTTGCATTATTTTTGCACCGTGCACACTGATGCAGAGGTGCAGCTGCACCATGCACGGCTGACAAACTGTAGGTCTGTTTTGTGTTTGGAGTGAATTACACTACGAGGTTTGACTGACAGTATAATATAATGTAATATTGATTCCCATGAATAATTCAGTGTGTATGTACAATCAGAGGACGTATTTATTCTCCTACACTATGTTTAAAAGTTGCCTCTGGTTACTGTGTGAGTTGTCACCCATTTAAAATCCAGATGAAATGAAAAACGTATTGTTAACCCTTTTTAGATCAGATCCCTGGTCAGACTGTGGTCTTACCTAACAATATATGCTCCCCAAAAATAAATAAACACATTTCTTCGTTTTCTTTCCCTCTTTGGTTCGGTTCAATCTAACTCAAGTTCGTTTGCCCCTTAAGTTAGGTTCATTTGGGCAGGTGTGAACACAGTAATTGCATTAGGGTGTGCACCAAAGCAACCAGACCAAGTCACGGTCTGGTTACAAACAAACTCTGGTGAGAACGCGTTCCGACCTCGATCCGAACTGCAGTCACATGACACATTGTTTGGGTTAAACATGAGCATGTTACAGTCCTGGAGGATTATTAATGTGCACCTCCTCCTGTACTGCCTTAATATGCACATTCAGCACATCCAATGCATCAAAACATTGTTTTCTAGTTGGAGCCGCGCCTCGTTTTCAAACTGTATGCTTTGACTAAAATGAACAATGACAGCAATATAGTCCACGATGAGCAGCGCTAAATCAACCTGCGTAGTTGTCCCTCCATTGTGACATTAGAAAGTGTCACATTTATCTTGCAAGTGTACTCTTCTTCAACGTTTGCTTTACTTCCTGGATTTTTCCCACATGGAAATTCTGACCAATCAAGAGCAGCTTTCTCACAAAAGGCATTTGATCTGGTCCTCTTGTAAATGCTGCTGTGAGAACACGAACCAACTCTAGACAATTATACAACTTTGGAACAATATCAGTCTCTGATTCAGACCAAAGCAAGACAACTCTAGGTCTGAAAGCACCCTCGGTCTGCAACTTTTAGCCGTTCCAAGCTAAGATTAATTTAGCTAGCTAGCAAAAGCATGCTATGTCAGTGTCTGGTGGGCTTGGGCACTACTAAGGTATTGTGGTATTTTAGGGCTATTCAACGGAGACTGGGACAGTCTCTTTGACCCAGTGGGACCTATGAGGTATGAATCATTCACAATGTACCTGGAGCTGCGATGCTGAGTTGCAGCGCATGGCAGACATGTTTATATGGAAAGCATTTGTTTTTGGTCTTTTATCAAGGATCTTTTCTGTAATCACAGAATTGTAATTCTCACCCACATCGCCTCAGTGAAACCAATCAATCATCCCCATGTTCTATGATAATGCACCAGCTACTGAGCCTTTCGCAAAGTGCATATCAGATTTTAGCGCCCATGTGTTGTACCCTAATGATATGACGCAATATGATGCTGTGACTTCTCCTTTCGTTAACCTCCTTGCAGTATACCAGGATATTAAGAAAACCTGAGGATTTTCACAACTGTCAAAAATACAGATGCACTTAATAAATAAACTGATACGGTGATGCTTTATTGTAGTGCACAGCACACACCACCAGAGGTCAGTCTTCACTGCCAGAGGAGGCAGCCAAGCTGAGAAAGATGGCGACTGCGGATGGTGGAGATATTACAGAACTACTAAAAAGCTGGCCAGCAGCAGCATGCAGAGCGAGCACATGTTCACATCTAACTGTGTGAATTAAGGATTTATCTTGTCTGAACCAAAGCTGGCGATTGTCGGAACAGTGGAAAGACTAACCAAGATGATTTTGGTGAGATTTTGTTTTGTTTCCATCGACTTTGAATGAATTGTGTCTGCCATGATTAGATTAATTCAGGGGCCTGCGATCATTTTTACATGATATCGATAAATATCCTTAGTTTCTTTTTCTTGGCTGCTTACCATTTCCTGCCTGACGCTCGGACACTAGCACTGTTTAAATGTTTAGGATGGGGGTGCACTTGGATGGAAATTACGACACAGATGTTCCATGGTAATTTTAAAAATAAAGGTATGTCTTAAAGATGACGTATCAGTGTTTTTCACTTTGCATCTTTAATACTGGATCATTGATCACTGAATAGATATACTGGTTGATATAGTGATTGATGCATGGTTACACCCCTTGTCAGAAAGGTATGAAGGTATGAAGCCTAGTGTCTTTGTTTCCCCAAAATGCCATGACGACCGGCCTTCTGGCTAGAATTTATTCCGTTTGGGGAGAGCGGTGTCTGTCACCTCCACATTATGCATAAGGCATGTTACAATGGACTGCTTTAGCAACTAATGTCACATGGAGCATATGATGGACTTTCTCGCCCTGACAGATACTATTTTGTCTGCGTTACATCACTGTAATAACATGCTCAGCTTTCAACAATCAAATGAAATTCCTCCCAACCTTATATCCTGTCTGCCTATCCTCTTTCACTCTAAAACACGTCACGATGATTTGCCACTTATAAAATGAAATGACTACATTTCTTCAAAATCTGAGTGTAAAAACGACCATAGACATTTTTCCACATTGTCAGAGTAGGTGTAGGTTCTGTAGTAATCAATGTTCCACAGTATGTTTCCAGAAAATTCTTGGCTTGAGACTTGGCTTTTTTATTTTTTTGAGTCTTTTTAGCCTTCGCCCTCCCAACTCTCGTTCACCCCCTGTGAGCTGAAGATGCCCTCATTACGCTCTCTCCCACATGCAGCTGAGGTGTGGGCTGGGTGAATCAGCTTTACACAACAGCTCTCATACTACAGAGATGGAGCCCATCTACCAACCCTCTCACTCAACGTCTGGACCACAACTATTTCAGTCTGTTGGAGATCTTCAGATCCCACCTCGGCAGGAGTCCTTGGCTTTCCTTAAACATTTCTTTAGCATCTTAGAAACAAATCCATACCACGCATCATGGTGACTTTACACAGAGTACAGCACGCCCTCAGTGTTCCCAGCACCTTGTGCAACCTGCAGGGTCCCACAGGGCTCTATTCTAGGTCTCAGTGTGTTGCCCACAGAGGGTTTGTGCACAAGGAGACACCCTCTGAAGCCTCACTGGAGGTCAGTGTTCACGCACTGTGAAGCTCTTTGTTTTTCAAGCACTTAGAATTAGTTTTAAGATTATTAATACTGGTGATGCCACAATAAAATCAATGTTGAATGTATCTATGATACAAATAAGGAAATTTAACTGTAATCCTCTAAATCCACTTCAGAGAAAATACACTATCTAAACTGTACTAAATGGCAGCGCTAGAAATATTAACAAATAGTAGTTTATTACAGATATATAAGTATTGACTACAACAATACATTTCAATACAGAAAGCCAGACATTGCTGCATTACAGTACATAGTTTTTCCACCAGAGAGCACTGACAAGTTTTTTTTTCCCAGTCGTAACATAATGACCATCAGTCAATAGATAATAGGCCTTCTTCATTATGACATTATAACAGGTGAGGCAAAGGTGCAAATAATGCCTCCATTTTAGGGTCCTTGTATTGTGCATGGCTTACTGGGACCCTTAAATGGAACCTATTATGCTAATTTTCAGGTTTATACTTGTATTTTGGCTTCCTACTAGAACAAGTAATGCTTCAGTGGCCAAAACTATTTTCCTCACTGTCTATCTGGAACCCCTGTATTCACCCCTGTTGGAATTGCTCCTGCTCTGATTGATCAGCAGTTCTCAGTCTTCCACATCTAGACCTCTCCGCACTGTGATTGCAGCCAGGAATCATCGTAACAGGGTAAAGCGGCACTCTCTACCATGAACAATTGCCAAGAAAGCTTCTAAACACAGCTGTTCATGTTCCAAAATTGGGGAGAAATTAACAGTATCAGTAACCATGGGTTTATACTGGAGACAGATATTTAATGCCCTTAAAGAGGTTTTTCAACAATGTAGACCCCACAGCAGTACCAGTGGGTGTTATCCCCTGAAAGTCTGAATGCAAAGGATAAGAAATACCTCTTACCTATATTACTTACAG